TAGATCGACCGACATATCAAATTCGTTTATTTATAATACTATGTAAATTAATTAAAATGTTCTTGATTCATTTATTTATTCATATTTCATATCAATTATCACAACCCTCTTGTCTTGACCTCTGGATAAATCGATATAGTATTAGGATCCCAAACACTGACCGAGGAACCCTTGAAGATCAGGGTTAGAATAGATCCATCCTTGTCGAAAGAGGCAACTAACGGGATCGGGTGGGCAGGCTCGCTTACTTGGTTGATGCATGTCATCGTATCCCAATCGCGTAGATCGATGCTCATGATGTCAATCACTGGACTGTCTGGTCAAGACGCCATTTATTTACAGACCGCCGTCATATAGCTGGGAATTGCTGTGTCCGGCGTTAAACAACACACATACAAAAACCTGATTTCCTTATAAGTAGAAAGTTACACCATGGTACGAATATAAGACAAATTTTGGGCGGCGTTAAACAACAAACAGACAGCAACTTAAAGACGTCCCACTGTAATTGTAATAAGGACTTCGTATATATCCAAAGAATGAACCGATGAGCGTTCTGTTTTTTATATATTTAAACCGCCATCACCCTCCCTATGTACGTGACCCGTTGAGTGGTGTATGTTAATTGATATAAAGTAAGGGGCACGGGTGGCCCAGTCATCTGAGGCGCCGCGATTCGCTGTACAGAGTTGCGTTCATTGGGCACGCCAGAAACCTACGATGGTGGGTTAGAATCCCGGTTCGCCCCGATTATGTTTCTAGGTTTGTTAGCACCATACTCGTGTTCATGGGTTTCACCGAAGTGGTAAACGTCTAAGACCTGCATCACTTCGGACTTTCCCCCCTCATTAAGCTGACACGCCGTGATATAACTGGAATACTGTTAAAAGCGGCATTAAATCAACTCACTCACTCACTGATATAAAGTTAGGAGACCTGGAAGAACACAGATCCAGTATGTAACAAGCATTGATAAGTAAGCTCGATATAATATTTCTACATGTATAAAAATAAATGATTGACGATTTGGTTTCGCCCTTTCCCTGTCCCATACATGTTCCCTTATCTGAATGTTGACGGAAGTAATTGCTATCAAAATAAAATCCTGTTTGTCCTTTTTCAAGTGTTTATTTCCTGGTGAGCGAGATGATTTAACGCCGCTTTTTAGCAATAGTCCAGTAGTATCACGGCGTGTCAGCTTAATGTTAGAGGGAAGCCCAAAGTGATGCATGTCTCAGACGTTTACCGCCTCGGTGAAACCCACAAGCATGGGTATGGTGCTGACAAACCTAGAAACATAACCTGGGCGAACCGGGATGCGAACCCACAATCACAGGTTTCTGGCGTGCCCAGGGGACGCAACTCTGCACAGCGAATCGCGGCGCCTTAGACGACTGGGCCACCCGTGCCCCCCTAACAGTAAAGTGTTCACGTGAATGGACGTGAATTCAATGGATTGAATCTAAGTGTCGCACGGGTTCAACTCCCGCGAGACCAATTGGTTCTTAATTGCAGGCTTCTAGAACAAGGAAGCATTTACGGTGAACATGTAGCTAGAATTGCGCTGCGAAATTAAAAAACCGTTAATGTTATTTCAGAGCTAATAACACACATTAGATGAAAGATGTTTTTCTCTCAAAAACCTTTTTTGCGCAGGTGTGGTTTAATGGATAGAGTTACACCACTTGCATTGGCATCAGTTCCAACTTGAAACAGATCAGTTCAATTTATTGATATATTAAAAACAAATCCAGTAAGTTCAAAATGCAAAAAAAACACATTATTGAACAAGCTAGAAAATATAGGAAAGGTATGTTTGAAATATCAATATAAGGTTCTCCTATTCTAAGATTGTGAAAAACACAAAAACTATTTTTTATCTTCAGAATATAAATTTTGTACTGGAACATATGTTTGGGAGCCTCTGGTATCGCGTCAAGGTGTACACACACGTGCATGTTTGTGCATACCTGCACGTGTTTTAGGTACATCTATGCACGTTGCAACCATTGTTTTCTATAAACCTCGCACGAAAATCAAAGAATCTGATCTAAATCTTCCACCTGTTGAACAAACAGTGTGTGGTTGTTACCACCGACGAACCGGCTACTTTTGTACGTGCCCCACAGGATTCAGCGTTATCGACACTCGTGGCAGTGTTTTTAAATACAAGCAGCTGTGGATATTTAAAAATAACCATCTTGACTGACGTAGAGATGTATCTACGAAGACGTCTTGCGTAAGAAATATTATTTCACCTCCACATGGCCTCATTATTCAGAGGCAAAAGCTAATACACGGAACCCGCCTCCGTGTCTGCCAACTCTAGACCTGGGTAGAATGGTTTCAATACTTGACTGATTGGTTGAAATGTGTCCGTGTTTAATTTCACGTCTAAATCTGGAGTTGTTTCCATGAACTCACTGAAGATAGCGTAAAGAAAACTCGTGACGTTTAATACAGCGTGGGATCATATATGGGTTTTTTAAATTCACTATCGATTTATGTTTGACACCAGTGTGACCAGATTCTGCGAGGGACGAGCATGCTTCAAGTTCTGTCTGTAATTAAAGAAAAACACACTCCATCTGCCTTGGTAACTTTACGCCGGAGACACTGAAATTTGTCTTCAAGAACCCAGTTCAATGGTGAACTCGGCACTCTTCTGCAAACATCACCTGAATGCGGAAAGTCACTGGTAACTAGGCGGTGAATCAATGTTGCTTTAGCTTCAATTTCCATCGTCACACGATCTTTTAAAACAGTTAACGGGGCTGATAAGTACTTCTTAAAACCCATTACATGTGTCTTTTAATTCCGAAAAAACAAGAAGTCGTGCAGCTGCATGGCAAAATGACGTTTACAAGTGATAACGTTGTACACCTGACACCCAATTACCCAGATTCGTATTTATCATATTGTAATCCCAATTCCCAGGCATCTCTAAAGTCCTACGCCGTTCGAAGGAGGCTACTAAATGGCTCGGTTGGTTAGTCTCGGTGACATAAATGATGACGTGTCAACGTACCCCGACGGCGTGGACTGTTGCTCATGATATCAACCATTGGATTGTCTGGCCCAGACTCAATTATTTACAGGCCGCCGTCATGTTGCTGGAATATTGCTGAGTACGGCGTTTAACAACATCAGACAACAACCAACAACAGCTGGAATATTGCTGAGTGTGGTGTTAAACAACAAGCACACCTAGACATATTTAGTCCCTTGTGACAAAGGACAGTGGTTTAAAAATGGAAATGGAATAAGTAATCACGTTGAAAAACCTTTGTGCTTAATCAGTGTTCGTAGAGAACTTCTTTACCAACCTGTCGACAAGAGATAGACCACTGACCGTTAAAATGTCTCCATCTAGCCTTTGGAGAGAGTAGCTGCACTTAGCCTGTCATTTAAGATTTTATCACACAGTCTTTCCATCTCCCGTTGTGGCAGATGCTGCTCATACAGGCCTCGATCAGGATAATCATTCACAGTCAAGTCTAGATTCAACCGGAACTGCATTAACGTTCTCTGCATTTTTAACCATCATTTATTTTCATATAGCTGTTAAAGTTATCAGACATATGTCCTTTTTTCCGAAAAAAAACAAAATGTTTTTTGTCTTGTCAATTCATAATGAAGCTAGCACACACAACCACCGGGCCTGATTCTACCATAGACTAGCCGTTCGTTAACCGCTATTAGATGTGAAGCTAGTACAGATGGCGGTCGTTACTGCATCAGTCACCATCATCATCAGATGTTATGCTAGTGCAGATGACCGGTCGTTACTGCATCAGTCACCATCATCATCAGATGTGATGCTAGTGCAGATGACCGGTCGTTACTGCATCAGTCACCATCATCATCAGATGTAATGCTAGTGCAGATGACCGGTCGTTACTGCATCAGTCACCATCATCATCAGATGTAATGATAGTGCAGATGACGGTCGTTACTGCATCAGTCACCATCATCATCAGATGTGATGCTAGTGCAGATGACGGTCGTTACTGCATCAGTCACCATCATCATCAGCTGTGATGCGTGTGCAGATGACCGGTCGTTACTGCATCAGTCACCATCATCATCAGATGTAATGATAGTGCAGATGACGGTCGTTACTGCATCAGTCACCATCATCATCAGATGTGATGCTAGTGCAGATGACGGTCGTTACTGCATCAGTCACCATCATCATCAGCTGTGATGCGTGTGCAGATGACCGGTCGTTACTGCATCAGTCACCATCATCATCAGATGTGATGCTAGTGCAGATGACCGGTCGTTACTGCATCAGTCACCATCATCATCAGCTGTGATGCTAGTGCAGATGACATTTCGTTACTACATCAGTCACTGTCATCATCAGACGCGATGCTAGTACAGATGATAATTCGTCACTGCATCAGTCACCATCATCATCAGATGTGATGCAAGCGCAGATGGATGTTCGTTACGGCATCAGTATTCATCATCATCAGATGTGATGCTAGTGCAGATGACCGGTCGCTACTGCATCAGTCATCATCATTTTCAGAAGTGATGCCAGTGCCGATGACCGTTCGTCAATTCATCAGTAACCATCATCATCAGATGTGATGCTAGTGCAGATGACAACACGTTACTGCATCAGTTACCATCATTATCAGAGTGCAAATGGCCGTTCTTTACTGCCTCAAACACTATCGTGTGATGTTAGCGCAAATGGCCGTTCTTCCTGCTTGGTGAAGCCCATTTCTGGTGTCCCCCGTCGTGGTATTGCTTGAATATTAGTAAAAGCGGCGTAAAACCATACTCACTCATTCACCCACTCTTCCTGCTTTACCGCCATTTTCCGATAGGCATATCTGGTCAAAGTACATCCAACAGCAAAGTTGTTCGGTAACAAAGGGCATCATATTATTTTGTGTTGTAAAATTGCCCACCGCGTCATATTAGTTCGAGGAGACGTTATATTTGATCCCTTTCCTCATCATTATAACGTGTGTTAATTGTTGCAGACCCTCGTAGCAGAGACGCTGGTTCTGGCCAAGACTCACGGCTATGTGGAGAAGATCGAGAACGAGCTGGAGGAAGAGCTCAGAAGAGATCAAAAGGAGCCGCCAAAGCAAATAGTAGCCAGGTGAGATATTTCATTATATTCAGTTAGTCGGTAAAAGTGGTATTTACCTGTATTTCTAAATAATACAACCAGTGATTCACATTATAGCTAGCAAGCGACCATCCACATTGAACATACCTAAACAAGCGACCATCCATATTGAATATACCTAAACAAGCGACCATCCACATTGAATATACCTAAACAAGCGACATCCACATTGTACATACCTAAACAAACGACCATCCACATTGAACATACCTAAACAAGCGACCATCCATATTGAACATACCTAAACAAGCGACCATCCACATTGAACATACCTAAACAAGCGACCATCCACATTGAACATACCTAAACAAGCGACCATCCACATTGAACATATCTAAACAAGCGACCATCCACATTGAACATACCTAAACAAGCGACCATCCACATTGAACATACCTAAACAAGCGACCATCCATATTGAATATACCTACACAAGCGACCATCCACATTGAACATACCTAAACAAGCGACCATCCTCCTTAAACATCCCTAAACAAGCGACCATCCACATTGAACCTAGTCAAGCGACCATCCACATTGAACATAACTAAACAAGCGACCATCCACATTGAACATTCCTAAACAAGCGACCATCCACATTGAACATAACTAAGCAAGCGACCGTCCTCGTTGAACATTCCTAAACAAGCGACCATCCATATTGAACCTAGTCAAGCGACCATCCACATTGAACATAACTAATCAAGCGACCATCCACATTGAACATTCCTAAACAAGCGACCATCCACATTGAACATAACTAAGCAAGCGACCGTCCTCGTTGAACATTCCTAAACAAAGGACCATCTGCATTAACCATACCTAAACAAGCGACCATCCTCGTTAAACATTCCTAAAGAAGTGACCGTCCACATTGAACATACCTAAACAAGCGACATCCACATTGAACATATCTAAACAAGCGACATCCACATTGAACATACCTAAACAAGCGACATCCACATTGAACATATCTAAACAAATTGAACATAGGCTCGAGTATTTACAGACCGCCGGCAGATATCTGACACATTGCTAGGCGTGGCGTTAAACAACAAACAAACAAAAAAGAAAATCATAGACACTTTACAAATAAATAAAGGCGACAAAACGGTTTCCATATTCATAAGCCTCTCTTCCATTGTACGATTCCGGCTATGTATCATGAGCATCATCTTTTATCAATGTATGATTATACCTGACTATCCCGTCACAAACACATGCGCAGGCAAGTCAAGTGAACAAACATGGGAACATATTACGATACAGGGTTAAAAAGAGATATGCATCGGACATGATTTGGTCACTGATGCGTCAAATTTGGAATGTCAAAGAAAAATGTTCATCAACAGCTGCCTGGCATTCTGAAAACTCAAAACGTTATTAATGGAGTGCACCACACCACAAGCCGATTAATGGAGTGCAACTGAAAATGACGGATGCTGAAGCTTAATCCTTGCCGCTCACACCCCATAACAGAACAGGACTCGGTGACCTCGTTGCGGTGGAGATGTTAACGTATGTACGATACAAATCAATGAATCCTTACTTAGCATGATATGCAGGCGGTTAAAAGAGTCCATCGCCTTCACCTACGTTTGTCTGGCTGTTCTATTTACACGTTGAGAATGAAAAGGTATTATAGCGATACATGGCATGCGTCGAGAAAGTAACCTCCTCGGGTCTTTCATCGAACGTGTTGCCCTATGGAACCGCAGTAGCAGTTAATATTGATCAGACTGCTAATGCTTTTTCGTCATCCCGCGACAACTAATTTTTTCCCCCAAAAGTCTTTTCATCTCGTAGTCGCATTACGTCATTTCTAACCTCGGTGAAATAACGACAGGATTTAAATCAAAAAGAAATCCCAATTCCTTGTACAACTTTATTTAGATGCATCAATATCGTCCATATTTTGGTATGAATATTGAAATAGGGTTTCACTTGCTCTCACGCCGCCATATTGATGTATCTCTACTCCAAGACAAGGTGGCGTTTTTGCGCCATGTTTTGGCGTGGAACCTGGGTGCGTGTATTTAAGGGATTAGGCTTGGAGTTCTGATTGTTTGTTCAGTGAAGTTAAGCATTTCGTTGCGTCAAGGTGATTATTTGTAATTTGGGTTGAATGTTGACGATTGGTGTTATACTGGCTTCAACATGTTCAGTGTTGACAAATGCATTTTAAAGTGGCAAAGTTTAACAAATAAAGAGACGAGTTGTTTACAAAGGAAGCTGGAATCACCTTCATTTGTAGATGCCATGCATCCGAATTGCTCTTCATTATGTCTTCATTATGTAGGCTCAAAATATGTACCCACGCGTAGCCAAGTGGCCTAAGACGCTGGAAGTTGTTAGGCAGAGTTGTGTCCCTTACCTGTGCAGGGACCCACTGTTTACTGGTTCGAAATATGGCAGTCTTTCCGATTATGATCCTGGGTCAAACACAGTTCCCGCCATGCTTCTTGGTTTCGTGAAACTGGTTTACATACACTGTGTCAGTTTTCACTCACTCACTCGAAAAGGTTGTGGTTTTAATATTTATTTTCAAAAACGAAAACTGGATTGTCAACAGGCAAAAGTAAACACAAACACATTAAAAAGAGTTGTTAGGAGGTGGTTGGTTGGTTGGTTGGTTTGTCAACAATATTCCAGCTATATGACGCCGGTCTGTAAATAATCGAGTCTGGACCAGACAATCCAGTGATTGATAACATGAGCATCGATCCACGCAATTGGGATCGATGAAATTCTTCAACCAAGCCAGCGAGCCTGACCACCCGATCTCGTTAGTCGCCTCTTACAAACACAGTCGCCTTTTACAGCAAGCATGGGTTGCGGAAGAACTATTCCACCCTGATCTTCACGGGTCAGATGTTTTTAGTAAAATACACAATATGGGTACGATACATTTGTGAAAGGAGGCTGAAAGATTTCTGGAACGATTAGACATTAACAGCCTGTATTCATTTTGTTCTTATAGTTATTCTTGGCTCTTTCTGCTTCGAAGAATTTGTTGCTTTCAAAACTAAATATTAAATATTGCATGGTCCGTTCGTGTAACCCATGAAGATCCGGGTAAGAACTGATCTTCAGAAACCCCTACTTGTCGTAAGAGGCGACTAGCGGGACAGGATAGTCAGACTAGTTTACTTGGTTGATGCATGTCATCGTATTCCAATTTCATGATGTCAATCACTGGATCTGGTCCAGATTATGTTTATACCGCCGTCATACGGCTGGAATATTGTTGAGTGCGGGGTTAAACAACAAACAACCAAAAAAAACTATTCGTATTTAATTCATTTTGTTCAATGGACGCATGTTAATGTCATTTGAAAATCGGACTACTGTTTGTTTTTATGTACAACCGGCGTAGATACGTTCCATAGTAGGCACTTAATTCATTTTATCAATATGTACATTGTATTTATAATACCATGAACTGTGCTTAATATAAGAAACATCCATTATCTACACGGTTTCGGAAATATCCTGGTTTACTTAGGGTAGACGTAAACACAATGTTCGATACAAGATGGTGAAGAGGTGTTGTACACATGTGGGGGCATAATCAATACTTTTCTTTAGCGCATCCGTTAATGCTGCTATTTATGTGTGATATTGTTTGATACAGGTAAATGGTATAAGTGTGTGGAAACGGTATGATTACAGTAAAGTTTACATCCTCATCCTTAAAGGATGGGTTTAGTTCGTAAATCGGTAAAGAAATATTATTTAAAGAGTGCATGCATCTTCTTTATCGCCGTGTAATGATAAGTCTGTATTAATATTAAGGTAGGTATATAGGTAGATAGGTAGGTAGGTCTCTCATTCTCTCTCATCATTCTCATTCTCTCATTCTCTCTCTCACTCACTCATTTTCACTCACTCATTCTCTCTCATTCACTCATTCTCCCCCATTCTCTCTCATTCTATCCCTAATAAGATTTAATTACTAGCGTATTCTCTCATTTTCTTTCTCACTCATTGTACTCTCTCATTCTCACTCACTCATTCTCTCTCTCTCTCTCTCTCTCTCTGTCTTTCTCTCTCTCTCTCTCTCTCTCTGTCTCTCTGTCTCTCTCTCTCTGTATATATATATATATATACTCACAATATATCAGTCTAACTCTAATTGGAGCTATCCGCTAACGTCCTCAGTAACTGGTACACTGTTTGTCTTGGAGAATGAAGGTGATGAATTGCGGCGTGGCTGACACGAGGGTCAGTCGTAATCAATAGTGGGTGGGTAAGCTTACTCCTGGCCACGAGATTACCAGACTTGATCATGATGAATACTGAAAGAAAACCGTTCAAAACAATAGATTCATATCATATTATCCAATTATAGGTTCAACGCCAACACGTCTATAACTACATGAAGATATATTTTTGTCTACTGATGGGGGGTCTTGAACATAGACCTCTCCATTTGTGTCAATGGTTTAACGACAACAGGTCCAGCCCGTGCAACTGCGTCATCTGTTGGAGGTGAACAAGTTACATGTTTCTGAACATATTATCCAAAATATTCGAACGTTTAGAAAGTTGATCGATTTGTATGATATTTAGTTCATAAACACGCACACGGTAAACCATTATTAAATGTTAAAACTTCATCCATCAGGAATATCATATAACGGATTTCTTAAACATAAAGATGTATTCAATAAACGAAGCTACATGTATAATCTACTGCCGTATAGCCTGGGTCTATAAATACTCGAACTGCTGTCAGACAAACTAGTGGCTAACAGTATGAACAACGGTGCGAATGATGGCATTGTAAACATAAGATTACGGGCTTTATTCGGATCCTACGACAGACATGTGGTATTGAGGCACATGGTGTGGTATTGAGGCACATTGTGGGGTGTTGAGGCGCATGTTGTTTGTTTGTTTGTCTGACGCTGCACTCAACAATATTCCAGCTACCTGGAAATAATCGAGTCTAGACCAGACAATCCAGT